TACATTTTTGGTTCTTCACCTATGTCCTTATTTTTCAACATCTTACCAAATTCCACAAATACGTTATTGGTTCTTCACCTATTTCCTTATTTTTCAACATCAACATAAGTATTTGGTGATCATTTGAATTATGTGTTTATTATTAGTTTTGTGAAGTTTTGGACTATTTTTTTTATGGATGTATCTTATTTTTAATTTTGTGTGGATGTTTTTTTAAAATTAGTTATTTATGATATTTAAAAAAATCTAATAAACATTAAAATTAATTTTAATATAAAATAATTTTGAAGTCCGATGCATTCTAGCCCCCACTTGTACCAAACAACGAACTGGACTTAAGTCTAGTGTAGTCTGCCCAACTTAAATGTGCAAACGACTTATTAAAGTCCAGTACAACCTAAGCTAGCACAGTCCAACTCGGCCACCAAATGGGGCCTAATATCAAAAATTAAATTAATTAAGAGGTAATTGATAGCATACTCATTCATTCTCTCTATTAAAAGTCATACTCCAACCCAAACTATTTTCATCTTTTCTTCCCATCCTTATCTCTTTACATTCCTATCAAAACTATTTTTTAAGCCGATATCATTCAACATAAACTCATCATTTTTGGTGACCAGGATTGGATTGGATTAAGATGAAGGATTAGATTGCAATAGATTACATTGGATTGAAAATGATAAGCATCTTTCATTAGCACTAGTGCCCCGGGTTTGTGTTGCAGCTCTCGGTATTGAGTCCAAAGTCAAGGGGTTGGAGGAGTGGATTATGTATCCCACTTTCTAGTATGATAAGTCATCCTACAAAAATGCACATAACGAGATTACAGTGGGATTACCTTTTATCCTATCCGCATCCATTCTTTTAGCACCAAACTTAGTATTGAATTAAGCTAATCCAATCCTTCTACTTATCTTACCTACCAAACAAAAGCCTATGTGAGTGGACTATGAGCTAAAGTTTTATCCTGCTTAATTATTTCTAAAGCAATCCTTTTGGGATAAACATGGTCAAAAGTGATCAAAACCAATGAGAAAGAATATGGTTCGCATGCAATTCGTTTGACTGTCTTATTTTCCTCATACTATTTGTTTTATCGTTGAAAGCCAATTTATACTTTTATCTTTGGTATGTTAAAATCAAGATAGCCACTGCTTTTTGCACAAAGAGGCGTAGAGCATAATAAATCCAATGTGCATACACACAATACAAAAGTGTACAGAAAACTAAAATCCAGGAGAAAATAAAAATAAAAATAATTTTTTCCACAAAAGAAAGGAAACAAGAGTGGAATTGAATATGAGACCTCGTTTCCGAGGCCACGGTACTTGAAAGCGCGAGTGAAGTGGCGGAGGACGTGGGCGAGGTCAGCTTCGGCCTAGTCTTCTGAACTGACACCTTTTTGCCTTCGAAGCACCGCTGTCTCTCTATCTCCTCTCCTCTGGCTGTTGCATCTCGGCCTGGGCAGAGATGAGACGCCCAGATTCCAATCTGGGGACATAGATGAAGCTTGGATTTCCGAAGAGAGAGATCGCAGAGAAGAGATGAAGCAGCCCCAGTGCATGCGAGGCGTCCTAGGTTTTGAAGGGGTGATTTTTTTTTTTTCCCTTATTTTAACCGGTTAACTCAAACAACCAGTTTCACTTGTTTTTAAAAAATGCCCACGTGATTGGCTGTACCGGTACAGCCGATGTACCACAGAAGGACCTGCAAGAGATATAACTATTAAGGATCCCACGCAAGTGCTCAGACACAGAGAGAGAAAGTGAGGGTGAGCAAAAGGGTAAGTTTGGCGAAAAGGGGAGCAGAGAAAGAGAATAAAATGGTTGAAAATTTGTAGGTGTTTTTTTTAAATGTGTTCTTTTAGCTGGTGAGATCAGGCTTTCTTATTTATAAAAAAAAACAATTTTTGATTTTGGTTTTGGTTGAGTGGGTGAAATTTTGGATTTTGGGAAGTGGGTAATGGTGGGTTTGTTAGGGTGAGATTTCTGAGCTGGGATTTTGGTAATCTGAGTTGGGTTTTGGGGGGTGGTTGTGGGTTTTCTGTGATGGTGTGTTTGGGTGTAAGATACCATTTGGATCTGAGACTTGAAAAAGCAAGTGAGATGGAGAGCAAGGTAGGGAATTCACTTTGTCTCTGGTTGATCTTAGTGGCTCATCCACTATGGATGACAATGGTGCTTGCTAATATGGAAGGTATGTAGTTGTTTGCTTTCTTGAGCTAGCTCACTTCGGTTGATTTTTGTTTCTTCATTCTCTTTTCCTTTTCCCTTCGCTTTCTTTTTTGTCTTTTTTGAAAATTATATTTTTGTTTACTGGTTTCATGAATTTCTGGACATGGGGTTCTGTTAAGTTCTGTTGGCAAGATTTATGGGTTAATGGAATTTGGTATCCTCATTTAAACCTACTTACCTTGTACTGAGTATTGAAAGACATTTATGAATCTTGAATATTGGAGTTTTTTTATGCTTTTGATTTGTTTACAAAGCTATTAAATTTAATGAAATGGAAGCTGAACTTTGGTGTGACAAAGCCGTGATGAATTGTACAATTTTATGGCTTCTATTGGTGTTTTGGTTGCTATAACTCAACCGGTACTTAATATTAAGTGCCATTATTTGGTTCTCTGAATATGACTTTATGATGTGTGTTGGTTGGATAGACCTCTATTTATTTGTCAAAAGTTATGAGTCAATAAGACTTTGATTGTAATAGTTTCTTTCTATTGGCCTTCTTATTTTAAAATCATCTCTACTATAGTCATGTTGAACCCACATAACTTTATGATTGAAAGCCTGACATCCACCATTTGTTTTTGCTTGTGAACAATTGTGGAAGCACGAGATTAATGGGCTTTATTTTATTTTCTTTGTAAATCAAGTCTGCCAAATTCCACAAACGCAAAAGCACAATGGTTTTTAAGCATCATATGTGCTGATTTAAGTTCTTATGCAATCTGGCCTTCCTGCATAATGGTTTTGTATCTGTTTCTGGAAATTCTAGAGAAGCGTGCTTTGCAAACTTCAAACATCGTTGTCTGATATGCTATGTCAAGTGTGTTAATCGTTTATATAGCAAGCAACTAATTGCTTTACCTTTTTTCATTTTTTTTTTTTTCAAACAGGTGATGCTTTGCATAGTCTAAGGACCAACTTGGAGGACCCTAACAATGTCCTGCAAAGTTGGGATCCTACCCTTGTCAACCCTTGTACATGGTTTCATGTCACATGCAACAATGAAAATAGTGTCATAAGAGTGTATGTTGTCTCTCTGACATCTACAAAGAATATGCTCTTGTGTTACTCCTCTCGGGAAGAATTCAATTGACAATGCTTTGTTTTGTGTTTAATTCCAGTGATCTCGGAAATGCACTCTTGTCGGGTCAACTTGTTCCACAGCTCGGCCTTCTTAAGAATTTACAATATTTGTAAGTTACTTTGTGCTTCGATTCTGTGCTGTTGGCTATCATTCTTTTCTAAGTGTTGTTAGTCCTAATGGAGTTACTCTGGTTGCTTTTTTTTTCCTTTTTTTTTTTCATGCATAGTCATTTGATTGTTATGCATATGAAAGAAATATATTTAGCAGCTTAGTACCAAGGCATTGCCTAGGCTATGGCTCACGCGAGTACTATCAGGTTGGTGTGGGATACTTAACTGAAACACAAATACTATGAACATTAAAGTTGTGGTTTTCAGGTATGTTAGAAAACAACATTTGAGGTAGGATAGTATGAGGAACATGATGGCAGATACATTAAATTCCTGGAAGAAACAATTAGTTCGTATAATGTAACTAAAGCACTTAGATAGGTTTAAAGAACTTAGTCTACACTGTGTATCTATTTTGCCGGTTTTGTTGGAACTTAGAAATACTGGTATCTAGTTGAAGGAAAGGACTTAAGGTTATGAAATACAAGAAGTATTAGTGGCAGGTAGCAGACCCTTTTGTCTATGAGGTAGGTGGTGGGTTGGGGCCTACTTTAGGGTTTAGGGTTTAGATTGCATGAATAGATAAAAATATATATAACCTTCTTTAATCAAGTTGGAATCAGTATAGATCAACCCTAAACGTAATCTACTTATTAATTGGAATTTTGTTGAGAGACTACTTTTTGTAGCAATCTTCTGTAAGAAGCTTCTCTGTTTATGGTGTTGTATGTCAAGCTTTGGAAGTTATATGTAGCCACAGGTCTGGTAGAACACCATTTGTGAACAATGAGATGTGGCTCATTGTAGAGATTTTTCCTTTGAATTAGTCCAGTTTTTTTCAGTTCACAATTTTTAAGTGTATCATATGTATTTGTGGGAATGTTCTCAAAATGTCATCTGACTTTCGTTCAGTGTTCCTGAAATATGTTAACTGGCTTTTTTGGTTGCTTCTGGTCCAGAACCCGAATAGTCTATCAGAAGCTGAATGAAAAAAATTGTTAAATTGTTACAATGGAAAAGTTTTGCACACTTTTATTTATGCCCAACAGTGGCATTCATTTTGGAACCATATGTTTCATCTGGCATGTTCATCTTTTGGCCATTTGCTGAGATATTCATTTGGAAAAACATAATGTAATGACACCTTTTGCACGCCCAAATCCCGAATAAAGTGTTTGGTGCATATCAAATTATCAGGAATTCACTTATGAATATTATCTACACTGTTATCTTTACTTAGACATACTGCTTTCAGGTCATAAACTAGATTTTCCCAAAAAGTGTGGTAACTTAAAGTTTTGATGTTAAATATGTCCATGCTGATTTGTATTCTTAAAATGAGATCTACCAGTGTCTTATGATTTTCCCCGAGTCATCTGATATTATTGCAAACTTTTCCAGAGCTATCTATTAAATTTTTTTTCCCCCTTAAATGACAGGGAACTCTACAGTAATAACATAAGTGGACCAATTCCTAGTGAACTGGGGAACCTAACCAGCTTGGTGAGCTTGGATCTTTATTTGAATAGTTTTGCGGGTCAAATACCAGACACCTTGGGCAAGCTGTCAAAACTGCGATTCCTGTGGGTATACTTGTCTTTTACCTTGTTTCTTTAATGTCCACATTCTTGACACGCATGCCCTGTGATATTTGGCTAGTTTTCTAAAACATGAGGGCCTAACAAAGAGAGCATATATTCATGAACTACTGAGACTAAGAGGAAAGAAAACAAGATTGAAAGAAGTATTTATTTGCATAAAAAAACACAAATTTATTTTATAACCTTACCATATTTTTTGATTTTGGGAAATGGAAGAAAGGAAAAGACTATATGTCATAGTACTTTGACTATTCAAGTATGTAACAAACATATAAGAAATTTGCTGCTTCATGTTTAAGATTGTAAAGGATTTGAAAAGCTACATATTATATTCATAAAGTAAAAGTTCCATTCACTTCATTGGTAGATATTTGAAAAGAAACTCTGCAATTGTAGAAGTCTGTACATATATTTGATATAAAAGTAAAATCAATAAAATATAGGCTGCCCTCCTTGAACTTCCAAAACCACAGCAATATTGATGACCCAAAGGAGACTAAGTTCAGTATTTTTGTGTTGTCAACATGACACACATATAAAATCAAGTGGCTTTATAATATCATTGTAATTATATTACACACGTGTCAAACATTTCATTCCAAAGAAGAAATATGTATAAAACATTTTGCTCGTGCTTTTCTAACAGACTAAGCATATATAGTCCATAATATTGTTGTTTTCTAATAATTCAAATGAGTAATATTATTTGATTGATTGTCGATGTTAACATCTATTTTCTTGAAAACTTTTCTGTAAGGATAGCCGACTTAACAACAACAGCTTGGTGGGTCCGATCCCTATGTCATTGACTAATATCTCCTCACTTCAAGTACTGTGAGTGCAAATTTTTTATTTCAATATCTCCCTCTCTCTCTCTCTCTCTCTCACGCTCATGTCTCATGTGTAGTATTTGTTCATTGCAAGAATTATATGCTCTGACGTTGTATTTCTAAATGTAGGGATCTGTCAAATAATCAGCTCTCTGGAGAAGTTCCGGACAATGGCTCCTTCTCTTTATTCACTCCCATAAGGTTTCTTGTTAATGTCGAAATTCTCTTGCATTTTCTGACTCTCATGTTGATGATATGCTGAAGTGTTCTCTGTCATTTGCAGTTTTGCTAACAACTTGAATCTATGTGGCCCAGTAACTGGTCGCCCCTGCCCAGGATCTCCTCCATTTTCGCCTCCCCCACCTTTTGTCCCACCACCCCCAATTTCAACACCAGGTGATTGATCTTCTTATTTCTATTAAACCTCCAGGGTTTTAGGTGATGGTTATATCTAGCACATCTTCCTCCATGGTCCTGGACTCCTATGGTTTCACATCTTGGTTATGATACTTAAGTTCATAGCTTCTCTATTGTCTTTGGGAAGTGTTATTTATGTAGTAGTTGTACTTTTATTGATTACTCAGCCAATACAGACAGTCTTTTATTTTTCTTTTGCTGTACCTTTTTTTTTTCTCTCGATATTTTTCCCTGGTTACAACTCAATAGTGAACTACAGTGAGCTTTATTGCATCCTTTATCTGCAAAGATAAATATATGTTAAATTTGGTAGGCAGGTTTCTTCATTTTAGTTCGTAGTTTCACTCTTCTAGAGTATGATGAACTGCATTATCCTTATGAAACTTAAATTTGATGAAGTGTTGGCAAGGTTTTTTTGGTGCACTTCCAAGTTTTTGATGGGCATGGTGTTTGGGAGATGTGCTGTCATGGCAATCTTTTGGGTGGTATGGATGGAGAGGAATGGAAGAAATTTTTTGGGAGAAAGGGATGAGCTGGTGGATCTTCTATGTGATAGAGTTCGTTTTTGGGGTTCTCTTTGGGCGTCAGTATCTTCAGAATTTAGGATAGTTCTTTTCAACCTTTATTGTATTTTTGGAATTCTGCTGTATACTAGTTTTTTGAAGGTCTGCTGCCATGTATCTTTATTGCCTAGCTTTGTTTTGCAGTCTTTGTAGTTGTATTTAGCTATAATGAAATTATGTTTCTTATCAGAAAAAGAAAAAGAAAGTTGGAAGTGTTGGCAAGTATACTTTTTATTGGCTTTAAAACTTTGAGTATGTGGTATCTAATCTTTATTTTCTTCACAATACAGGAGGGAATAGTGCCACTGGGGCTATCGCTGGTGGAGTTGCTGCTGGTGCTGCTTTACTATTTGCTGCCCCTGCAATTGCATTTGCATGGTGGCGACGGAGAAAGCCGCAAGAATTTTTCTTTGATGTACCTGGTTAGTAATTCAACTCAAATATGGGTCAGTTTCAGCGTAATTGTTTGTTTAAAATATTATCTACATCTCTTTGCAGCTGAGGAGGATCCTGAAGTACATCTTGGGCAGCTTAAGAGGTTTTCTTTGCGAGAATTACAAGTTGCAACAGATAGTTTTAGCAACAAAAACATTCTGGGGAGAGGTGGGTTTGGTAAGGTCTATAAAGGGCGACTAGCAGATGGTTCACTGGTCGCTGTGAAAAGACTGAAAGAAGAGCGCACCCCTGGTGGGGAGTTGCAGTTTCAAACAGAAGTAGAGATGATCAGCATGGCCGTGCATCGAAATCTTCTTCGGTTACGTGGGTTCTGTATGACACCAACTGAGCGTTTACTTGTTTATCCTTATATGGCTAATGGCAGTGTTGCCTCATGTTTAAGAGGTAGAGCTTCAACACATTTTGATACACTTTTAGGATGAATACTTTATTGCTTCAGAAGCTTACTTTATCTCATTCAATTTGTGCTTTCAAGGTCTAACCCTGTTTGCTATTTCCTTATAGCTTCCTTAGTGTACATTTCTTCCATGATATGTTCAACTTCGCAAATTTACAAAAGGAATGAATTTTCTGTGTCCAGTCCTTTATTCATGCCTGAATTTATGCTTTTTTCTAGAACGCCCACCATCCCAACCACCTCTTGATTGGCCAACTCGGAAGCGAATTGCATTGGGATCTGCAAGGGGTCTTTCTTATTTGCACGATCATTGTGACCCGAAGATTATCCACCGTGATGTGAAAGCTGCAAACATTTTGCTGGATGAGGAGTTTGAGGCTGTGGTTGGAGACTTTGGGTTGGCTAAACTTATGGACTACAAAGACACCCATGTCACTACTGCCGTACGTGGCACAATTGGACATATAGCTCCAGAGTACCTGTCTACTGGGAAGTCTTCTGAGAAAACTGATGTTTTCGGTTACGGCATCATGCTTCTGGAGCTTATTACTGGTCAGAGGGCTTTTGATCTTGCTCGGCTTGCCAATGATGATGATGTGATGTTGCTTGATTGGGTATGCATCTGTTCCATTATTATTCATGTTCGTGGATTTGTTTTACTTCTATCATTATTTTTTATTAGTTAATGCCACCAGTGAACAATCTCTTGGACTCTAGCTATGAAGTCGCATTGTACCTTTTTACTCTCAATGTTGTATCCCTGAAGTAATCCCTAGAAACCAATAGCTCTTTCTTTATTTTGATATCCAACCTTAGAATGAAGGTCAGGGTTATTGAGAGTATCAACCTTCTGAGGTAGGGTAGGAATGCTCATCAACTTTGCTTCTGTATACCAACAAAATATAGATGTTGAGACAACACAAATGTGAATTACTAGGTGAAGATTCTGTTCGGATTTTTTTTTACTTACTGGGTAGGTTCCTCTTCCCCCCTCCCTCGAAATCACCTTTTTACATGTATATATATTTTACGTTCCTGGACCTGAAGCTTTGCTAGGGCAAAAAAATTGTTTATTCGTCTTGTCCTCATTATATATTTGGATGAAGTCAAGAAACTCTTGAGAACTGCAGTTTGGATTGTTTTCCTCATATTTTTTATATGTGTGTGTGTGTGTGTGTAAACATACATGACGTCAATAAATGGGATCAAAGTTGAATAAAATAGAGTACAAGTGAGGTTTTCTCAGCACATCTTATCTTAAAGATGGGACATCTTGTATAGAGAATCTCTGATATTTGGTTGCTGCTGTGATATTTGGTTGTTTTTCCCCTATGTAGATACTTGCCTTGTTTAACTCCTGTCTTTAGATTTAAGGGAGCAATTATCAATAATCTAGTGCCTGGGGTTTCTCTGGATTGTTAGGAAACTGAGATGTGTAATGTCTACAAGATCTCATACAGCTGAGTGCTTTTCCAGGTTAAAGGACTACTCAAAGAGAAAAAGCTAGAAATGCTGGTTGATCCTGATCTCCAGAACAATTATGTAGAAGCTGAGGTAGAGCAGCTAATTCAAGTTGCACTGCTCTGCACACAAGGTTCTCCAATGGACCGGCCTAAGATGTCAGAAGTGGTGAGAATGCTTGAAGGTGATGGCTTAGCAGAGCGATGGGATGAGTGGCAAAAGGTCGAAGTACTCCGCCAGGAAGTGGAGTTAGCTCCTCACCCAAATTCCGATTGGATTGTTGACTCAACAGAAAATTTGCATGCAGTTGAATTATCTGGTCCAAGGTGACCTTGGCATGGTAGAAGTGAGAAAAGAAAGGGGGGGGAATTATTTTCAACTTAATTTTTTAACTATATATATTTTTTGTTTAATGACCATATCCTGATTAATGTATCTTGTAAGTCCATTCTGCATTTTATTCGTTACACTTGTGCATATGAGTTGCTTTACTAAGGTGCAATTTGTATCATCTGCGGCAGTTTGACAAAGCCATAATTTTATATATAAGAAGCTGTGGCAGTTTTAATCTTTTATGCCCTGCATGTATATGCTAGGTCAATTTTTTTTGCCTCGTCTGTTTATTCATGGGAGGCCTCATCTTTGAATGAAATCAAATCCTGCAGTTAGAGAACAGTTTCCTAGTTTGCTCATTCATGTAGGCAAGTTAAATTTTCACCCCAAGTGTCATCTTGAGGTCTACTAGAGGTTATGCTATTGAAATTTCAATTGAATTAGCCTGCAGGCAGAAGGAATTACCCAGAGAATGTGATTTATGGAATGAATTTGTGAGAGCATTTTCAGTATAGCCTACCTTTCTTAGGATTCAGGGGTATTTAATCAGGATCTTTATAAAAGTACGGGTGTATTCAATTCAGACTTTTATGGACTTTTATAAAATCATACAAACGATGACAACGCTTTTGGTGGTAGCATGTATTGTTGGTGGTGCTACTGGCGGTAGTGGCTTTCTGCAGTTCTACTGGCTGAGTGGCCGTAGTGTGTGGTTGATTATTGGTGGGGAACCAGTAATCATGGGAGATTCAAGGAACTGATGTGGTGGTAAAGACTGGCCTTAAAATTGTTTGTTTTCCTTCGAAAAATCTTCATATCCTTCAAAACAATGTGAAAAAATTCTTCAATTATTATTATTTTTTTTTCCCGGGAGGATTTGAATTTATGACCTCTTATATTATTGGGAAAAGAAATACCATTATATTAAGAACTAAGAGAAAATTGCTAGCTTAATCACAAACTAATGTTGACTCAATTGTCCCTAGTTCAACATGTTTTCATCTTAATAGTAAATTAGTTATATGTTGTCGGGGCATATTTTGGGTTCTTGATTTCAACGTTAGATTCCACTCTGTCGACCCTTCCATGTTGGTAGATTTTGTGTTCATTTTGGTGCATTGGCGGGCCCCATTTTGGTGGAGTTGTTGTTTATCGTGCGGATGTTTTTATGCTTTTGTTTTTTCTGTTTGGTGAAGATTTATTGGTTTTTGTGGCAGATCTGTGGGTATATTGGCCTTCTTGTAGTGTGTTTTTATGTGGTGGCAGGTTCTCCTTCTCAACTTTGGCTAAGTGGTGTGCCGCTCCTGTATTTCTGGAGGCAGTGGCGGATTCAAAAAATTTCATTTCGGGGGTCAAAGTGTAAAAGGTTATAAATAAATAAAATATATACAAAATAGGCCCATTGAAATAAAACGATAATACTATAATTCATAGTTAATAGATAAAACCATACAAAATACTCATGTTCATTATCAAAGATAACTGCATCAACTTCAAAAAATAGGCACACATTGCAATACACCAGAAATATCTCCAAGAATGTGATAATAAACCAAAAAATTAGTGCAATCCTCTTCACCTTCCAAGGCGTCTCATCTTATTCGACATAAGAACTAGCATATCTTAGCGCAATCCTTATCATTTTAGGGCTTTTACGTCATTTTTTAGGTCTGTCGTAGTTTTGATTTGGAGCTTTATCTGCATTTCTTTTGGGTTCTAGCTCTCAAACTTTGGACCCTTATGAGTACTGTCTTAGGGGGAGCTTATTCAATCAAATATTTCTTCAATACGTAAGAGTTCGATTATTATTGTAAAACTCTTTGTGGATTGAACACTTAAGGCTTTTTACTTAGATTGACTTTAGGTTCATTCATGCATTCATATCATACATGAAAAATTGTTTTAAGTAAAAATATTGGCCAAGTATGAAAAATGATTTTTCAAAATAATCATTTTTTCAAGATAATTTTTGGCGGCTTTTATTCCTTACACATAAAATAAGAAAACTTGATTTTATGGGATTTTATTATGAAGTATATATTGACTTAATGAGCCATCATTTTTAGCCTAAATCGTATTTTGCACTAAAACCGATTTTTCATATTTTGATTTGGTGGGAATTTGATTTTCTAGTATTTTTTTTTTGAATCCAAATTGGGGGCACTTCCTTATTTATATTGTAAACTTAAGTAAATTGAGTAATATAAAAATAAATGAAAGTAAGGTAATCTGCCTGCTGTGCTTGTTTGCTGTGCCCTCTGGAGCATTTCATCAAGCAGTTTAGGGGCAATTTGCAAGGGTCAACATCTTCGCCTCCAATGGTGAATTTCAAGCTTGCATGGGTCAATGGACCCCTCTTGCCCTTATGTGGATCCACCCCTGCCTGAAGGCACTAACGACTATGGTGCTTTTGTGCTAGGCTTTGGTTGGGACTTATGTCTCTCGGTAGCTCTATCTGGATTAGGCTTTACCAAAAAAGAATTATGCATGGATCTCTCATTTTATTATACGATCATTTTTGTTTTAACTTTGCATACCTCCAAATATAAAAATAAAATAAATGATGACATTCCTTCAATTCTACACGACTCTTAGCGCTCGTTTGTTATACTCGTTTTAGCATGGACTGTGCTTAGGGACTGTCTTGACTTCGCTTGGCTTGGTCTAAGTTGGATAACACTTATCCTGTGTTTGCTATATGCTTGGACTAGGACTATATATTTTTTATTTTTTTCAAAACTATCTATATATATGTATATATACATACATATAATATATATATGACATATATGTGTATGTACATGTATATATGT